CAACCAGTCATGGCAGGTCGATATAATCGCTTTGTGATGTTTATTCTGCGCTCAGTGTCTAGCACTGCTTGTTCCCGTCTTAAAGTACGAACTAATCTCAACTGTATATATCAGAACTACGCATAACGGCATCGAGAAAAATACAGAAAATATTAGCGGGGTACGGGTGAACACTTAGGTCGGCAAGATCGATCATAATTTGATTCACTGAAACCAGGGGCTTAGCCAGGGCTTTCAACCATCTCCAGATTTTTTTGTGTGTGTTTGTGTGTGTGAGTGAGTGTGTGTGTGTGTGTGTGTGTGTGTGTGTGTGTGTGTATGTATGTGTGTGTGTGTTTGTGTCAGAGTGTCTGACCGAGTTCTGTAATCTTGATAACTACCACTTACAGTGTAACCAAGAATATTCAATCGAAGCATTTTATGAAGACTTGCAAAGCCCAGAGATGCACAAGTAATTACGAAAGGAACCTTAGAAAATTTTCCTTTCTGTTTCCGTTCACCGCGTCATAGGGCGATGGAGTCGAGGATTTGATAATTGAGCTTTAAACCTATTTCTTTCACCATTTCTATAGGTATGTGATGTTTTTACAGCATACAAGTTTAAGAATTCAACAAGAACCATTTAAAAATTTTCAACTTGTTCAACTATCTTTTGCCACGACACTCAAGAACATATATTATTTTAACATGTATGAGTAGAAGGGCGATTTCTCTAGGAGGCAGGTGGTGTGATATGAGTATGGATTCGTGTAAAGCGACGACACTTTTGTTTCTGCTGGCGCTCGCTCAGCAACAGTCACTGTCCTTCATTGAGCCAGCATGAGTCACTACTTCATTTTGTATTCATTTCACGCCTACCTACTAACCGGACGGACGTTCGAGTCTCCGCACGTTTCTTTTTCTTCTTTTTTACTGAGGATTATTCGGCAAGCTATCTATTGGATTGAGTCACTCCAGCTTGCTCGCACTCAGCCGCGGTTCCCAGTGAGGACGACTGAGCCAGATTTCAGCGAATTTGGCTATTAGAGAGACCAATGACGTGACATTTCGGGGCTTTAGGGGTGTGATCTAGGTTGAGCAATGCTCGGATTAGTTTGCCAAACAGAGTGCGGTCGGGATGCATAAGAGTAAGCTCTAGAGAGATCGAGAAAGCAGTGCAGTGAGTTCGGTGAGTACTAGCCACTCGAAAAATTCCCACAGTCTTAAATGTATTTGCCTGAAACGGCTAGCCCACAGTCGATCCTCCATCAATTCTCTGCGCCCAACGAGGCTTTGTCTTGTTAACGGGATCCAAGAGAATGAACGCCTCTTCAACGTTCCATGATTTTGCGGTGTCTCCCGAATCAGCCCACTTGTGAACAAGAGAAAACGTCCTGCCGCCTCTTGTACATTACCACATCCTGTCTTTACACATCATTACCTTAGACATTCACACAATACCTCTCTCGCATTTATCATACGTGTTTACCATATTGCATAATTTCTCTGCATCCACCCCTCATGTAAGACCACCTAGAGGGGTCTTAAATGTAATAAAATGAAATGGTTTGTGATGACGCCATCACGTGACCTCGCATTGTGCACCACCACAGTGACATCAAGAATGAGTCATAATTTTTCAACCAAGTCGTGTTCAGACGTGTTTTCACGATAATTGTTTTTGCATCATTCATGTCGATGCCACTGCCGACTTTTCGCATTTCAATCAGCAGTATATAAAGTTTTCACCTTAATGAAATAATCTTTGCTGGGCGCTTAGGTGCCTAATATTACTAATCACGAAAGCTTTTATGCCAGATACGGCAAAACATTCTTGGCTTCTTTTCGGCTCTTGCGCACACGTTTTCCCGCTCAGTGTTATAGAGTATAGAGTGCCAACTAGCTCAAACCTTCACGTTTTCTTATTTATGTGCCAAGGAGACAAATTATTGGGAGCCAAGACGTAGTAAGAGAGCCAAATGTATTTCGAAACCGCTGTTCTGTCTGCCTTCATATCCAGGGCTGTATGCGCTAACACCACCATATTGTTGTGAGAGATGCCTTAGTGGAAGGCTCCGGAAATTTCAACTATGTGGTGTTCTGTAACGTGCACTAACATCGCACAGTACACGGACCCGTAATGTTTCTCCTCCACCACCAAGATTTGGCCGCTCTCTCCGTGAATAAACCCGCAAGCTACAGGTCAGTAACCGATCACTTTAACCGCTACACCGCGGTGGCAGACACGCATGGGACAGAGGTACGCTTTTATGAACGTGCAAGACATGGCTTTCAAAATGAGCTTCAATCCGGGTCATCGTTCGAGCACTGTGCATCAGTATAAAGTTAAACATAAAAAAAGCAACTATACAGACTTCTCCTCACAGACAAATAAAAATTAAAAAACAGCCTGCTGTAGACACATTTAGGTGGTGGTCTAGTGACAAAGGTACTCAGATGCTTACCCGCAGGTCACGGGATCGAATCCCGGCTGCGGCGGCTGCATTTCTGATGGAGGCGGAAATGTTATAGGCCGTGTGCTCAGATTTGGGTGCACGTTAAAAACCCCAGGTGGTCGAAATTTCCTGAGCCCTCCACTACGGCGTCTCTCATAATCATATTTTTAGGACGTTAAACCCCACAATTCAATCAATCAATCACATACTTATCGTCCGATGTATTCGCATCTGCGGCAACACTTTCCAGAGAACCTATGAACCGTATTCGAGGGACCAATATGTAACAATATAAAGTGTGACTTGTTGCTCACATTGTATTGCGACGCGGATAGAGGAATGAGTATCGAACGCGTTACCATGATGCGAAGTGTGGCTTTTCTGCAGCCTTTTTTTACGTTATGAAATTCTGGAAAACACGACAACATGTGCGACTATTCGTCCCACAAGTCAAGAAAAAGGTGCGTCTGGACGTTGGGCTACAATACACATCTAACATATACAAGATCTCAGTGCACGTGCTGAAGCTATGTTGTCTAAATGAAATAATTGAAGAAGATCGTCAGCTATAATCAGTAGACTTTGCGTCTTGCAAACAGCCATGCGTGCCATTAAATAGGCCGATTGATCATACGTTCCTACCATGTTCCACTTTCCACCCTCACTATCCACTATCCTATCGTACTTTGTAACGTCGCTTTTTCACGCATGCTTCTTGTTATAGTATTTTCCCCTGGTCGTGACGGTGATGTACACAGAACTCAAGCCGTGAATGACTGAGCAGTTTATCGAATGATGTTGTGCTCAGCAAAGGGAGTAACGCCCAAACAGTGACAACAGCAGCGATAGCCATTGTCGGTCGACCAAATGCCCATCTATAGGCAAGGCGCGTCTGCCAACACATGTGGCATCAAAGATTCCAGCGTTATCATTGGTCGCCCTGTTAGTTGAAAAATAAAGCCGACGTTCGTGTGCTATATGCAATCTTATCTGAAGAGTGTAAAAGAATTATTATATGGACTTTTACACCCCAAAACCAAGATACGAATATGAGAGAAGTCTTACAGGAGGGCTCTACACATTTCGACCATCTGGTGTTTTTGAACATGTACTGACATCACACAATACACGGGCCTCTACTCTTCCACCTCCATTCAAATGTGACCGCCGTGGCGGGAATCCAACCCGCCACCTTCGGGTCAGCAGCCGAGCACCTGAGCCATTGATGCACCGACGTGGAGTGAAGGGTGCAAAACAATCGGGAAGGCTCGCACACATCCCGGCATGGCTTGTGCAGAGCAGTGGTTGCATGTGTAACTGACCGGCTCCAGAACAAAAACTACAAAAAAGCGTGCGTGACAGTAGGAATTCTACGCTCTGTTGCGGTGGTGTTGCAGTTACGGTGCTCGGCTGCTGATCCAAAAGCCGTGGTTTTGATTCCGGGCCACGCGCTGGCATTTGGGTGGAGGCGAAATGGTACCGGCCTGTGCACTGTGCGATGTCAGGACACGTTAGAGAGCACTAGGTGGTCGAAATTTCCGGAGCCTTTCATTATGGTGCCTCTCTTAATTATGTCGTGGTTTAGGGTTCTCATACTTCGCATGTTGTAATATGAATTTTATGGATATTCATTTCCGTAGTGGAATGTTTAAGCGTCTCTACTTTCATCTATCTGAATGAAGTGGTGTTTAACGCAGGCATACATTGCATATATTTTAATAAAATCATAAGCCGTCGTTTATCTTTTCGTTAATATTTATAGTCGTATGGATGTTCTTTTGCATGAATCCCTTCGAGAACTTTCTTTGGATGAACGCCCTTCTTTGTGACCTCAATAGTCTGTCTACGAATGAAGGTCAAGTTTTTAGGCTACTTGATGTCGCCTTTTGGTAACTTATAGTAAGTAATCTGCAGCCTTCCCATGCAGAGCGACGTCCGTTCAAAGCGGCCGACAAACCGGTCATGCTTCTACTCATACACAGTGCACCACAAAGAGCAGGTCCCCAACATACGAGTTAACTCATTGAAAAGCACCTGTGAATAAACAGGATTCTAGCAGCTGTTTTTCTGTACCCGAGGCAGCAATCACTGAGTGTGTGCGAAGAGGCGGTCATTCTGACGCGTATCCGTATCGACTGCAAGTGAAAGGGCATGCTCCAGAATTCGTCGAAGCACGTGTCTCGCACTGGAATCAGCCAAACAAACAAGTGCAAGGGTGAAGTGCGCGGCCATTGCCGGCAGTGTGATTGCCACCTGACCAGGTCACGCCTACCCAGCCAGGATGCGGTGATTTCCTCGACGTTACGCAAATCGTCGGAAGAGTGGTTCCAAGGCGTGGATTTCCAAGAATAGTGGACCATCCGCGGCGACAACTCCCGAGGACCTTGAAAGAAGATCTGGTAGCGTCTGGCGCTGCCAGCTGCCGAGGCCGCCGAAGAGAGGGCAATGGTGGAGAGGGAATACCGGGAAAGCCACCGGCGAGGCGCCCAATGGCCTGCCGGCAGCGTCGGTTGGCCGGACTAGCCTGGATCCCAGCGCAAGTGGCGGCGGCGCCTATATAAGCGGCGTAGCCGCGGGTGTTCGGTCAGCTTCTCTCCACTCTCAGCCCGGCGGAGCGACTAAGCGTGCACAAACATGGTGGCTTTCAAGGCAGCCCTCATCCTCTGTGTGCTCGTCCTTCCGGCCTACGCCCAGACAGCAGGTGCCGAGCCACCGCGCCCGGTAAGGACTTGTGGCCCCCCCACGTGTCATTCATTCGTGTGAACGATGTCTCCTGTCCAGGACAGAGGCGAACATTGGAAGGAGACGTTGGTCTGACTAGAGGGGCTTGCATTCTGTGGAGAGATTGTAACATCTCAAAGCAGGATCAGTTTTTTAATCTTCCGCGCTTGATAAATAGTCCTTTGCCCCCAAAAGGAGCTTGCGACTGTCCGTCACGCTTGCTCTCAATGCCGTGTCGACTGCGCACCGGCCGCAATTCAATTATCTAGGTCACGGAGAAAATCCTGCTTGCAGTGCTTGCACGTTAGCTCTTTCTTTTTGCTATCTCCTCGACCAATGAGTGGTCTGCTCAGATGAGCGCCGCCAGCTTGTTCAAAAGCAGGATGTAGTTATAAATGACGATCACGACTGCTCGTGCTCGCCCTTTAAAAAGCGTCGTTCGCTGTATTACGAGTGCGAACGCCTCATAAATGTACTGACAATCCTTGAGCAGACTCAATCATCTTGGAGCACACTTGAATTCGAGGCGCCAACGCACAAAAAACATTGTCTAGCTATAGCAGTTAAACGTTACTTCCTGACAATGGAGCCTTTCTCCCACTTTTGTATTGATTAGTTCCAAAATTAAATTTTGTAAGAGAGTATTTATGGAGACACAATTCCGCTGTGGTATCTGCGGTGACAGTTTTACATGGAAAAAGTAGTGACACATACCTTGATTGTCAAAGCAATCAATCTAGCTCTTAAATGAACCTTGTTATGGCTATCGCAGCGTTTGTCTTTCACATCACTATTGGAAGCGTGCAAAAACACGCAGTGATTAATATTGAAAACAAAAAAAATTGCTTTTGCGCGAAGGTGTACTAAAATATTACGAGGAGCTTTGATGGCTTTTTTGATGGCTGGTTTCGCTTTGTTCGAAAAAGAAGCGTAAGAAAAAAGAACTCTGCCTAACGAATACTGCCAAGCGTGATTTCACGCTGAATTCTTCAAGTTCAGCAGTTCAAACTAAATTGACTCAGATCTTTATTTTCCACCGAGTAGATACAGATGGAGCGCAGCGGGAATAAAAAAAGCTGCCTGCGGGTGGCTTTACTAGCTCGAATCGAATTCCAGAAATATATTTTGATTTGCCAAGTAGTAATCAATACATACGAAAAGAAATTGGACAGAGAGTGTCCTTCTAAAACAGCGAAAAGTGTGTGTATACTGTCTACTATGTACTGTGAAGTTTTGCAACACTCACAGATATTGATAACGGAGAGTGATAATGCGGTTTGAGTAAATTCAAAAAGTATTCATTGAAGCGCCCCCACTGAAGTGCAGCTGAATGCATAATGTAAAAATAAAACAGGCAGCCTTGCAGAAAAGCTGATCCAGGCAGCATCAAATTCATGCTTCTATTAGGCGCGTTGTGAGAGATGGTTGAAAGTGAGAAAAAGCAGTGAAACAGAAAAAAAAAAGTTTGGCACAACCACTACGTTTGATATACCATCTGATTACAGGCACTACAGCAAGTCCGCGGTTTCACTTTTTATATAGCCCGAAATGAAGTCACAGCCCTTTGATATATGGACAAATTACAATCCGCTTACAATTCAGATGTTGCTTAACGAGTGGTTCCGCCTGTGTGCATTCACATTGGCTTTGCAGAGAGAAACCGATTCTAGAGCTCAGCAGCTATGCGCAAATTGCTCAAAAACGTGATCACAGCGCTCACATAAAATATTCTGTGGTAACTACAACCATGGTGCGGACTCAAATGTTTTTCGCGGCGTTTTTCAGCATCAAGCATTGAAAGGCTAGAATCAACTACTTAGTGTTTCGCAGGAGCATGCTGTGGATCGGCTCACAGTCATGTTCCTTACCCGGTTTGCCCTGCGCCAAATAATTTCTAGTAGTTGTTTTTTTTTGCGCAGAGATAGACAGTCGGGTGAAACAGAACTCATTCGTTCATGTTGGTGCTTAGAAAAAAAACAGTACCAAAAAAGTAAAAATAGTGGTGAGCATCTTGCAATGTCTTAGCTGGACTTCTGAACAATTAAGGCCCCGTTACAACCATTATAATAGAAATGGCGATTGAGTTATCTAAGCCTAAACACTTGTGTAGAAGCTCACTAGCTACGCTGGACGATGTGGCGATATTATTGAGAAAGCGGAGCATTTTCATTTTCTCAAACAGCATTTATGCCTTACCTACCTGCACAACCTGTCCGAATAAAACGTAGAAGAGCTTGGCTGATAAAACTGCTGTCGTCGACGAAGACTGCTACGCTATATTGACCCACTAGTTAAATGGTAGTTGTTTACCAAAATTGAGAAATTTGGTTAATTCCGGTCTTTGAAACGGGCTCGTGTCAAAATGTATTGGAGGGCGTTGCAAAGGCAGCTTTGTAGATGTAGATGAGCATGCGAAAAGATTGTCACGTAAATGCGGACTAATTTGTCAAATATCAACGGCAGGTAGTTCACCACAATCTAGGAAACTGTTCTATAGAATATGTAAAAAAAATCCGATATTTATTATTCGATAATCAATTTCCAAGAAATAACAAAAAAGGTGCTGTGAAACTAGTCAATGTTCTTTTTGCCCGCGAGTCAGTCGCTGGTTTCCGCAGTTGACCTTTGAATATACCAATTGTGGCGCCCGCATGATGAGGTGGTTTACTCAAAGCCGGTCAGCCGACAGCCGTTGAACCTACCAAGGCGTTCAAGTGCGAACGTTCTTCTCCATGATCCAAACAGAACAAAGTCCCTTTGGTGCAAGGCTCACCAAAGAACAACCACACAATGGCGTGAAGACGTCTGGCTGGGAAGCGAATAGAACGGCAGGTACTCGTCTTCGGCCAGACGAACGGGTTAGCCTATATTTAGTTACTGGCTGGCGTGACGTGGCCACCCGCTAGAGCACCGTTCGATGCTGCTCCGCGCTCGCAGGGATAAAAAACCAGTTTTTGCGAAGCGATTACCCAACCATTTTGGCTCTTGTAGCTGAGCGGTCGAACGCCACCAAGCAACTGTTTTGCATATATATATATATATATATATATATATATATATATATATATATATATATATATATATATATATATATATATATATATATATATATATATATATATATATATATATATTTAGTCCTGAGTTGGCTCATGGCCTCAGTCCGTTCCAAAGAGCTTGACCCGTACGATGCGCCTAACCGAGCACGTGCGCTTAATACCGCACCCACTCTGAGATCACCGGGAGATTGTGCTGGGCTCACGCGGTCTGCTGAGGAGGCTGACCTCGCAGCAATTGTGAACCTCTGCAGGCTGATGACCAAGCATCAAGTCTCATCGGTCTTCTCATTTTTGCCATTCAAGGATCTCGCTTTTTGACGTTACTACTGTTCATTCTCATAGGGGGTGTGTTTCTTCATAATTGTACTACGATAGCTACAGAAGGGGTTGACTGTGAAATTAGCGAACAAAATGCATTGTCTCAAAGGATGCGTGGTTCAATGCACTTTTCACGAAAACGCATCCCCACCAACTTGGCCAGCTGCGAAACGTTCAAGCCCGTTTCTCTCTCACCAGTTGATATAGCGTAGACATTCTACGCCGCCCCGCCGTGGTGGTCTAGTGGCTAAGGTACTCGGCTGCTGACCCGCAGGTCGCGAGTTCGAATTCCGGCTGTGGCGGCTGCATTTCCGATGGAGGCGGAAATGGTGTAGGCCCGTGTGCTCAGATTTGGGCGCACGTTAAAGAACCCCAGGTGGTCAAAATTTCCGGAGCCCTCCACTACGGCGTCTCCCATAATCGTATGGTGGTTTTGGGACGTTAAACCCCACATATCAATCAATCAGACATTCTACGCCACATTGAAAAAATCTACGCCGCTTCGCCACACAAAATTTCTACAGTCAGTGGTGCAGAAAAAAAAGAGAGAAAACCATAAGTGGGCAAAGAAGATGCGCTACTCTGTGGCTTTTGTTCCAGTTCACTGGTTGTGTCGTGGCCCCAGAAGGCAATTAGTCGCGAGATTTTCCATGCTGACGCAAACCAGTGTTGCATCACTCGGTCGCTCTACATGCGGCGCGAAGAGAGCGGCGAGGTGAAATCGGCGCATTCCGCGCAAGTGCGAGCGCCCACCTTCGTGATCCACATTTTGAGAGGCGAGAAGACGACGCGAGGGGCTGCGATGCTATCGCGTCCCGGCGCTCTTGCTTTTTACTTTCGGGAAGACCGGTTTCAACGGCGGCGGGGATCAGTCGACAACGGGAGCACTGGGTCTTGATATCACGACCGGCTTCTTTTTCCTCGAAGCGGCAAGTCAGACACGACGTGGAACCAGGAAAAGACAATAAGATTTTGAAATGGGGAAGCTTATCGGGGTATTCATTGTTTTCGATACTTTCTCATCCGAGCTGCATCGACATTTATTATACGCGCCGCGGTACGGTACTGAAACTTGTTAGAAATTGTTTTAGCGATGCCATTGCGTGGCGGTTTGTTACCCAATAAAACAAGAAAAAAAGAAATGAAGAAAAAGAAGCATTGTGGCTTGATTGGAGTTGACAGCTAGAATATGTCACGAGAAGTGAATTGTGGCGTATTGTCTCACCGATCGCGAAGTGTTCGCCATCTTAGTGGCGTAGTTAGGTTCTGGGAGTGATGCTGTTACCTATGGCAGGTCCCATTTTACGTCCTTTAGAATATTTTAAAGAGAAATGATTAAAAATACGTTTACTCGTAGACAGTGAATTCATTGATTATTGTAATAGTATTTTTTTTTGCTTGCGGGTGCTCTCAGCTTGAAGAATTGAAACGCGCATTGGCACTAACCTCTCATTTAGAACTATCACAACGCTCCTCTAAATCTGCCTCGACATCCTGATCATAAAAAAAGATGCACAGAGTCGTACCATGGCAATACTACATGAATTTCGAAGAATTGTAAAAGAAATACATTCTTGTCGACTGGAATTTCAATAAACGTATTGAGCTTCGTAGGTGAGGTGCAAAGCCTGCCTAGAACGTTAGCAACGACTGTGATGATGTTAACGCAAGCTTTATGTTTAGTTGTAGCATCCCGGAAGTCCTAAGCAGCACAACCTTTCATGATTTTTTGAGAAGTCGACTTTTACTGCAAACGTTGCATGGTTGTCTTTCGCTTACGACTCATTGCTGCATTGACTGATGGCGTGCGTGTAAATAACGCACCCGGACATAGACAGTCACGTTGTTCGCGTCCAGATGACTATCTTGCACAGACAGAGCACCTTTTTGTGTGCAAGACACGTGGGATGGATGTGGGTCGCTGACGATGACACCGATCGCCGAAGGCCCCCTTCACTAATGCTCTGCTTCCGTGAGGCCTCACTTAGACCATGACAGCGATAGCTTTTCTCTCGACATCGCTATTCTCTGAAATATCAATGCACTCACGTCGGTTCTCTCTTTTCTTCGCAGGAGATCAACTGGGGAAAGTGCCCCCAACTGCAGCCATCTAAGGAGGAAAGAGTAAGTCCGCCTGAAGAGGCATAATTGCCGTCTCTTTTCGCCACAAGGGCACACCGCTCTTTCCGTGGGATTATCGCGTGGCGCAGCGAAGGCGGGGCCGCCCACTTGGGCACCCACCGCGAACGCATGAAGCTGCCCAGGAAGTGAGTTGATTGCCTGCTTGTATTATGGCTTGGGAAAGCAACCAAGCACGTCGCCAAGAGTGGCGTCACCTTGCCGCCCACCGCGGCCAAGAGAAATCAGAGCGGAAACGATTAGCGACCTCACCCAAGGATGTGCGTGGTAGTCAACTGCGTTCGCCGCTATCGGCGGCCAACCAGTCCTTGGCGAAGAAAGGCAAGGTTTAATGAATTGGCGGCCCCATGGTGCTGTGCTCCTTTTACCAGTGCGTGCATTGTTTATGCGCAGGTATGCATGCATGCGTACGTTTGAAACTACGTGTAGCTTTTTCGGCTCGGTTGGTTTCGAGACGCAGCTACTCCATAACTAACGTTGTCGAGGGTCACGTTGAAAGCGTACTACAGTCTGCGGTTTTCACACTTGCGTTATTATCTGATAATGATCAAACGCCTTTTCTCGTAGCTACAAAAGCTTGTATACCTTTTGTTTTAGTGAAGAAATTGTCTGGGTAACGCACACTCTGCCTGTCTTTTACCCCAATAGCAACAGAAGGCCCTAGTCATTGACACTTGCCTCGAGAAGGTGCCCCTCCCAGACGTCGAGCACGCCAATGAGGTGAGTTTCTGCGTGACGGTTATGACTTAAGAAGCCTGGGAACAGCTTTCCATCGAGAAAGGAGGGATCTTTCATATGTCTTGAAACGTTAGCTCTCGTAAAACCACAGAGGTGAACCTTTTTTGCCAATAAGCTGCAGCGTACCATTTCTGACCGCTGAAAAATAGCTTGTATGCCAAAAGGTAACTTAGCTTTAATAGTGCGAGTCAGCTACCCCACTATCGCCTTTGATTTAGACGTGAAAACGTTATCGATGTCAACGTACAAATGTGGAGATAGCTTATTCACTGGTATTGCGTTATCAAGTGGTTTCACCTTACCTTTCGAAAATAATATAGTACATGTTGCAATTAAAGTCTGACCTAACTTTTTTTGCCAGTTTAGTCCCAATTTTCAAAAATATCAATCATGCAGTCATCTTCACGTAAATAGTAAACGCTCTCCTTTGCACTTTTTGTACTACCCAAAAGGATGTACAAGGTCTGCGAAACAAGTGCCAGCTTAGATATATTGGCCAACAAGTAGCTTTAAAACGCCTGGGATTTTCTTTGCTGGGCGCATTACATAATAAAGTATTGTTTGAAAATATTTGAAAGAGAAGCATGTAGTGTAGAATGCCCATTGGGGAGTGCATCCTGCAAAGACATCGCTGTCACACGTAATTCAGTAAGACTTTCTGGTGGGTCAGTTGGTTCACAGCTTATAGACAATATGAAACTGCATGAAAAGGCGTGGACACGGATAAGGAAAATACTGAACGCGAGGGGTGCAGTGGCGTAATCGTGTGCTCTTCTTATCGAGCAATATAAATACCACATTATAGCTAGACATTCGTAGACTACCTATTTCGAAACTACTGTCAAATCAATCAGTGTGCATGGCCTTTCAACTTGCACGATCTAGGTGAGGTTTCACCTTTCACAATGGCATGCTGGCATTCACCACAGGTGTGCATTGAATGCCTCGTGTTTCTTGCAATGCAGACTGTGATCCAGCAGCACCGTGAGGACGTTACCACTTGCGCTCTCCACAGCGAAGGATGGGTAAGTGAGAATCGCAACAGGAATGCGCTTTAGAAGGACCATTTTTCGCTTCTTAGTAAAGTAAGACTCCCCAATACCAAAAGTACCGTTTTTTTCTGCTGCAAGAGAGTTTTCAAGTTATAAAACTGGTGAAATGTAGGAGCCGATAGCGGTGTTTATTTCATATTTCTGGAGCCATTTGCTGTGATGTTGCCAATTTTTATGGCCTCTGTTAGAGAGTAGATTGATTTTAATTGACCAGATATTTTCCTCCGGTGGAGCCAGAGGTATAGCGTATCAAGTTTCAGGAATTACCCGGAGAAAAATGTGCCATCTCTGAAGTCACATGTGCGTAAGTCTCGGCGTGAAATGTAACTTGTAAACTTTCACCTTCGTTTTTCCTTCTGGAAATAAAACTAACGGCGAGAGTTAGTCGCCAAAAAATCCCTGTATATTGATCCGTTTTTTTACACGACTGTCCTCTGAGGCGTCCTGTTACTATAGGGTGTAAGCGATCTGTGTGCAGTTCAACAAGAATGGCCAGTACCGCTTCGACCGTGCCAGGACTGAGATCTTGAACAAGAAGCTTGCTGCCGACGTCGAGCCAAAGGTGCTCGCCAAGCACGACGAGTGCAAGAAGGAGGCCGAGGAGAAATTCGCCCACCAGTTCGTGGCTCAAGTGCAGCTTTACCAGGCCTGTATGGATTACCACATTTCCCAGATTTGTGGCATTCAGATCCAGGGTGGAGCTGGTGCGCCGGCCCATGGTTAAGCTTCGGGCCTAGCCTATCCGGCCCCTCACTCCTCGCTGACTCCGAGGTGAGCACCGCTGTAGACTGCACTTTTATTACGCTGCACGATCGTTTGAGGAGGAAAATTATTGGTGTTCGGTGTATTTCGATGCTTCAACACTCACGCATACTGCCGCGCTGCCATAAACACCGAAAGCGAGAGTGGGTAGATTTATTCTTGTGCAGTGCGTTCGCCTGGACGAAGCGTTCGATATAATTTGGAACGTAATGAATATTCTCAGACACTGTATGCGTGCACCGATTGCCTTCGAACGCGACAACTTGCAAAATATTCCTTGCCAGAAGGGTCTAAGGGTCTGGTATATTGACCAGATATATTTCCGTATTATTTCTAGGTAAATCGTCAAGCTTAACAGCAAAATGTGGCCAAGTGTACATCTGCACCAGTAGATATTTACAAGCCATTCCTTTCATAAAAGTGTCTGACTGCACAATAAGAACATTTTGCAACACTTTGAGGAAGTGTACACTAAACATCAAAAAATGCCTTTTTATTATTATTCGAGAACAGAGAACGACAATACGTTAGAATGACGTCATTAAAACCTAATTGTGAATTAGCGTAATAAGACTATTTTTGAAGAACTTTGATAATAACGTCCCACTGAAAACAAAAGAAAACAAAAGCAGCTAGGTGGAAGAACAGTGGTGTAACGTAGAAACACAGTGCCTAACATAACTGTAAAACAGTACTGCACTCATATTACATAGCACGCCCGTAACGTGACGATCGCATCGAACGGGAAGTGAAATTTTGCTTAGAAATTGCCCATTGTTTTTTTTTGTTTTTGAATGATCTTTCCTAGAAACAGCACCTTACACTCGCAGGTCTTGCCTTACAAGGTGGATGCTGTGTTTTAGCACATTCCGGAGATAAGACTTATAAAAGGATTGATCGAAAATGCGAGATGGCAGGAGTGAAAAGAAGAAAATTTTGTGTGAACGTTTTAACTTTAGAAGGAATAAATTTGCAGTTTTAAGACGCCAACTTCGTCGTCACAAATATTTTCAGGTTGCGCCAAATAATCATTGCTTAATGAGCGTTGTGGCAGTATCTTTTTAAAGGAAAATCACACCGAGGGTAGACGAACAAATGGGCCTTCTTTCCGCCCATTTTATAAACCTCTATTTACCATTATTCCGTCCTAAATTTTCGCAGCGCTTGTACACAAGTAGACGCCATAGGCCACACGGTGTGCTGACGACCTCGTTTTTGTTTGCATTTGTCGCAGTTCTCAAAGCAACGTTGTGATCCAAATCAGCCCCATGAATCGTCAGTCTGGGCTCTTCAGCTTCCAGTCATTTCCTCATTTCTTCCGACTTCCTGCTGAACCCCACTGAAACGCTCCTCTGGGTTTTCTTTTGTCTATCTCTCTCTCGTATTGGACGCCGGCTTCCTCCTTCCTACTCGGCGTCACAACCAAAGGGGAAATGCTATTCGACTACGACCACGGACAAAGAAAGACCACCCCGGAAACAAAAAAAAAATACCCTTGTTGATCAAAATAGTCGTCAATAAAGAATATATTCGTTTCCCCGTTGTAGGGCCTGTCTGCGAGTGTATTTCCTGTTGCGTGTGCATTGTCTTTCCTATGAAAACTCTTTACGCGCCAACGAACAGTGGTGGCGCGTTTACTCTGAGGCCTCGAGGAGACACCTCTTTCAGTGTGAGGACTTTTCAGTGATTAATTCGCAGTGGCGCAATGCTCTGTGATATCTTGTGCGCTTTTAAAATTTTGAATAAGTAGACCGAGTGCTTGGCAATAAGCATTGGTTGAGTGTAACCAGTGACGTTCTCGACCCAGCTATATTTGGCTGTGGTGTCACACATATGCTGTATATTTCGACATCTATAAGCTGCTGCGTACAGCGCGATAGCATCCGCATTACGAGTGAAAAAAAAAAAACAGTGCTTACATAGGACGAAGAAAAGGCACGAACCTCGGGATGCTTTACTTCATTGCCGTAAATATGGTGATGACACCATCACTCAGTCTAATATATTTCTTCGCACATTGAGATGCTGTGATTTATTAGGTTTTGCTTTCGTGGAATGTGCCCAACTACGCACTCACAACGCTGTTAGCCAGAAAAAGGAATCGTTGCGCTGTCCGTGACCAAAACGCCATACTTGCTCTTTCTATGGGGATGGTGGTTAGGCAGAACATAGAGCCATTTTCAAAATAAAGAATATACTAAGCGTAAAACAGCAAACGTAATGAGTTTCGGACCACGTTCCGCGCCTCTGCATTAAACGCAAGAACATCAAAACTCGCAATGAACAGAAGCTTCTGCTATGCAGCTGGAACTTTTAGTCTCGCTACTGTTAAGTTTTTACTACGGTTTGGCGTAGTCAGTAAGTTTATGTCAGTACTAGTCCACGATGAGACGCTTTCTACTCGCATATGTACCGAAGGAAATGCAACTAGCAAATGCGTTGGACTGGATGTCTATCAGCATAATATTGCATGTACAGCGCTCTCTCGAGTATTATAAGCAGCTCTCTCGAGGAGAATCACAAGAGTTGATTGGATAACTGCAGTGACATTGCTCATATAATTGCGGTGCTTCGGGTAACGAGTGGAGGACGCACATTTATTCAAGTATGACGCTATTTTGTTTTTATGCGCCAGGCCGATTTGTGATAGCTTTGTTTATGGCGATAGGGTTTGTGAATTTTGTGGAACGGTGTTAGCCTATCTACGACAACCATGTCACCCAAAGGAAGTGGCATTGCTGTCATATGTAGTGTTACTTATCGCAGGATTATACTTCGAGTAACTGTTTGAAAGTATAGATCAGTTCAGATAATAGTGAGAATTGGACGTATGAACGGTTTTATTATTCCAAAACTCTCCGTAGCTACATTCCTTGTTTAATGTTCGCGTCCACCAATGCAACAACAACGAATTACATGGTTAGTGGCTGCTCACTATTAAGAATTTTATGTAACGTTAACACACTTGCACCGTCTCTGTGGATAGGTATTTGTGGAGTAGCTTTCCACACCTGTGCTATGCACAACACACACAGGCGCACATAAAATCGAGAGAAAACACAAATATACTTGTGTTTTTAGATCTCGTCAAACAATGTGAGGAGCTGAATATCTGTCGTATAGGTCAAATATGCAGCTCCACATATTGAATTTCTACTAGGTTTGGGCATACGTACTTCTCCATTCAGTTTCGTCAAGTTGTATCGGGCTGAGTAATAGCTTGAAACGCACAGCGTCAATTGTCTACATTGCATCTATTCTGCTTGGCTGTTCCCAAACGCAGAAATATTCGCATGGAATATCTCTTCACTCTATCTCGCAACTGTTAACTACTTGCCTGCATGAATTCAGTAATATCGTGTCGAACATGGTTGAACATCTAATACTGAACTTTTGTACAGGCTTATCAAAACTCCAGAGTCAAAAAACAACTGGAAAGCTTCGTTCGAAGGCTAGGTAAATACACCATCACCTGTTGACTTACGTACCTCGCCTCATGGAGCGGTGTTGTCTATGGTTCCGTAAGGTGCATCTTAGCTCCTGCGTGTTTTACGCATATAAGTGGTGCTATTCAAGACCTCAATGTAAGAAGTGTTTCCTGGTGACTGCATGGTCTGCAGAATATGTAATAGCGTTGACCCCCAGTTAGACCTAGCGAACTCATTCCGAAATATGAAGTACTCAAGGCCAGAGTTACAGTTATTGATAAATATTGAAAAATAGAGTTTCAGTCCCCAATATAATATTGAAACGCAAGTCAGCTACCAATGTGTATTACAGGACTGTGATAAATAAAAACGTTCGAGATAAAAGATAGCGTGGAATATTTGGAAACTGACATCTTAGGAAACACACGCCTCTTTTTCCATAAAAAAGTGTACTTTTTTGTTTATACAACCATTAACATCTTTATTTAGCACGATGAGCATCGCATAAATATTGTTTTCAACACATAAATAATGACCCTAATAGCACAAACCACATTGATATTTGGCCGGCTTCTGAACCAGTATTGATAATGCGGCTACAGAGGTTCCCAAGAACCGTTTAGTGTATTCAGCTTAGCGTAGTCTATCGCCCTTGAGGCACTGCAATTTATGATGGTGGTCCCTGAAGCATCTTCTGAAGCTTAGGTGTTGATTATGATAGTCCTCAGCAAGTGATGGCTGAGCTGTAACTTTCAGCAGGGCCATGATATGAAACGAACAATGACCTCGACAAACTGCCGTGGTTCTTCATTTATTAAAAGGTCAGGTAAATATGAAAACTTGTCACAAATAGTACCCGTGTTCTTATTGTTGCTTCCCTGTCACGAAGCACTGATCTGCACGCTATCAGAGTGGCATACTATTGCGTTCCTTATAGATGACTTTGCGCAGCTGGTTTGCTCAATAAAATCTAGATGACGCTAGAACACGGTGAACGTCTCCAAACTCTGGCCGTCTCTCTGCCGTGGGCTTGTGCAGCACTGCTCAACTGGCCCTTTGCGACGCCTGTATGGCATCGCCGTAGCGTCTGTGCGCGCGCGAGTAAAAGACCAGTTGCTATGGGGACGCCAAGCAAACAATGCAACGCGGATGTTCAGCCGTGCTGCAGAAGGCCACGGAAGAAAGACGGCTACGGTAGGGAAAATCAACAAGGCCTCACCTATAGGTGCAGTTTCCTTCCGCCTCCTTCTTGTCATGTCGTCCTGCGCTGTGTGTCCCGTAAGTTTACAACGTACAAATGTATTTAGTGTATATTTACGTTCTGAAGCTTCGAGAGCAATGCATTTGTCAGTATTTTGCAGTGGTTTCTAGATTGATTCTTGAAATTTCGGAGACAAGCCTTAGCAGACATGGCTAAATAAACACTGCTAATCTCATTGATAAAAATAGCACATACCTGATGTCCTGTCTCCAGCGTGAGATGACACGAAGTGGTAGCTGATTTCACCCTTTATTTATTGCTGTGACGACAGTGGGTTAAGAGTAAGCGTGAGCTTTTATCAAATTGGCCAGTCGCGTCTGCGTGGGTGCTGGAATGTTGGCTTCTAAACCCAGCTACTGGTGTTTACGGCCACGGCCACTACGCTGGACCAGTGCGTTTGCATGGGCATCTGGCTAGGAGAAGGCCAGTTTATGGTCACATGATCACATATGGCAGCGCGTGGGTGCTTCGGCTGAAAGTCGTCTATAAGAGCTCTTTTCGGGAGAAAAAATTTTAGCCAGCCAAAGGACGATTAACGTTTTATGGCACAGAGGTGCTCAATGTCCTCTTGAGGACAGACGACGAGCTGCTCGACTTAACTTACTCCATCTAATATATTTTTCTAAACTCGAAATAAAGCCAGAAAACTACATGGTAAAGGATTCTTCCAGGCCTTCCCGTCACAAACACAGCTGTAGAATCAAGCCAATTTTCGCAAGAACTAATTTATACAAACACTCTTTTTTCCCGCAATCAATCTCTGAGTGGAATTTGTTGCCCCGAAACTCTACTCTTCTTTCCTTTTCACCATGAAATGCGCCTTGTGTTTCCTGGCTTTCACAATACTTGTTTGATTTAACAATTTGTTGTGTGCCTCAGAGTGTGGTGCTTTGCTTATGGATTGTGTTGCAGTGGGTGTACTCAGCCCTCTGGAAACAAGTATAATTTGATGGTGATTGCTATGTTTTTTTTACATTTCGTGTATATCAGTATCAATTTTGTTGTAACTTTGTTGTACTTTTATTTTACCTTTGAACTTGCTGTACCTTACCTGCTTGGACCTTAAATGGTTCGTAGTATATGATAAATAAATAAATAAATAAATAAATCTGCGCTTGTGCCTTAGACAACTCCGAGTCTGGAGTCAACGCCGCTTTCGACAGTAAAACAAGCAGTCGAGGCAAATTCGCTGCCGCAATCTAGCGTGGTAAAGAGTGGTGTTGTCGGCAACAGTCTAAGAATAATGCTTTCGTCACTGGACATCTGTTAAATCCTTTCCTTATTACGGCCACTTTTTTTATGACGTCTGGATTTATTCGTTTGCGAGAGCAGGCAAGTCGCGGCTGTACTCAGCCTGCTGCAACAAGTGCCGTCAATTCGACTTTGCTGTAATGTTTCTGTTTATAACGAAAGCTGTGATCAGATCACAACGGCAGTGGTAGTGGGATAGCTGTGCACCGCCGCCGGTGTCCGTAACCGCCATCGCTCGAAAGAGTATAAAAAAATGAAAGAGAAGAAAATTCTCAAAACTTTGGCCACTCGTACTGATTATCATCACCAACCATGTATTTGCACCTCTCACAAAGGGCGAGGCTTCGTCCCCTCAACCTCGCACTTCAAGATGAAGCGTCGGCGTCAACCTGGGTGACAGATCTCACGGGTGGAGGCTTTTATTTTTTTGGTGCCACCTAGCACGTCCCATTGGTATTCAGCAATTGTGTGCTCCCGGTCTCAGCTCTGATGAAAGTGACTGTGTTTGAGTCGCTATGTAAATTACTGTAAAAACTGTTTCAAGACCTCAACAACAGCTGATCTTGGCAATGCAGTTATATGATGCTGCCAACGCTGGCGGTCCATAACTGCT